TCTCCACTTTGGATTATTATAGTAAAGTTCCATTATTTGGCATGATGTGTTATAAATGATGTTGGACACTTACATATTCAGAAGAAGAAAATCTATTTCTATTATCCACAGCCCTGCCTTTTGCATTAAAATTGATAAGTATGTTTAAGTGGAAAAAGCTTAAAACTGCTACATAGACAACTACATAATTCTTACTTGTTTCAGACTTAATAGGTAGGTTCAGTAGTGAGTGTTTGAAACACAGTTTAAGAATAAAAACAAAACCTGCAGTGTGATTTGATTACACTATTTATTCTCAGTGCCCTCTTATTTTCACATATGTAGTTTTAAAATTGAATATTTTTATTAACCTTGTTTGGTTTACATTGGTGTTACAGTGGTCAGTGCTACACATTAAAAGTCAACTACGATATCTTCTTTTATGATTTAAAATTGCTATTGTAACATTCAAGTGATTGAATCAATATTGGCTCCATTGGTTATACCTTTACTTTTTCTATTTTAAAATACAGGCAGCTATATTTTCCCGTTTGTCTTTTTGTTTGCTTATTACAAAAATAAAGAAATGATAGAGGCAGAATTCTACTCATCTGTCAAATAACTGTTTTCTAGTCTCATCTCTCAACATACAGAATGTTGTAGAAGCTTAAATTTTGGTGCCATATGTTAACAGTATGAGCTATTCTTTTATACCAAAGGAAAAAAAAAAAAAAACTTGCTGTCATCGACTCGTTTCTAACGCACAGCAACTCCCATTCGGTTTCTGAGCCTGTAAATCTTTACGGAAGTGGATTGCCCCATCTTCCTTCCGCAGGGCAGCTAGTGGGTTTGAACCGCTGACCTACTCGTTAGCAGTCAAGTGATATTGGTCCATATCTTCTAATTTCTCAAAATATTAAAAATTTACAATGTATCTATCTCCTGCTTTAGAAAATAAATCTTATATATTCTGAGTCATTTTATTTAAAATCTAAAGGTAAAGAGTAGCATGCATAAAATTCAGCATGGAAACTAGTTATTATTTACGTGGATATTGTGAGTAACTATTTTATTTTGCATGAGTTCAATGATAATACTTGAATTGTTTCTTTGCCAGTCTCAGCCAGGTATTTTCTACTTGTTAAAAGTGAAAGTTCTGTGGAATTTATAAATTATATACCTAAATTTAAGGTTTAATGTACCATGTCTATTTTTAAATATATGAATCATTCATGCTTTGCAGAGAGATGTAGAAAACTGGTTTGGGTAGAATATTCATTTATTTAACCTTTAACCTTTATTGTTAGTGAACCTTATAATTTTAATAATTATTTTCACATTCTTTTGTTTAAAAAAAAAAATCTGTTATTTTAAGCCTGATTCCTATCACAAACTCTTTTATTTTACTTGGAGTTTCAGTTAGGAAAAGAAAGAAAGTGACATGCATGTGGTTCTATTTAGTATAACATCTCAAACATTTGTACAGTTGAATAGGAAGCCTTAGTTTTCATTAGTGCCAACTCAAAAGACCTGATTTGTAAGAATTTTCTGTGTAGCAAAATAAGGAAAATTAATTTTTTCTTAACTTAGGTTATTCTGTAATTTGTGATGAAAAATAGCTAATTTGTTCTTAAGTAAGCACAATTACTGATTTTTTCATTCTTCCTCAATAATTAAAATTTCAGATTCTTTTCTGAAATTTTAATAATAAGAATATTTGATATTTTAATTAATTGGCTGTTTTTGATTGTGTAATTAGAGGTATTATTAACCTAGAATGATTTGAAAGCTCTAAAATTATATCTTTGCTGGTTTTCTGAGTTGGGTAGAAACTAAGAGCTTAAAAGTATCTTTCTTTTATTCTTCACTAAAAAAAATTAGTTTGGGAACAATTCCAGCATATTTTAAGAATTTAAAATTTAACAAATATAATACCTTCATTAAAGGAAAGAAACCCAAATGCTAGTAAGTAGTAATTATATAGTGTCAGAAAGGATAGCAACTATATGCATAATTTTAAAAACTTAATATAATTTGCTGTCAAATTTAGTAGACTGGAGTCTTGCTAAAATTTTATTAGTCAAGCAGTTACACAGGAAGATCTTTTCAGATATTTGAAAAGAAAGTATCCTTTCAGATTTGAGAGTTGTCACAAAGATACTCTGATTTATAATTGCTCAGATGAGACATAGGAAGAGATTCTGTTGTCACTATTACGTAGACCTATTTTGGTCTGGTTTAATAACATTTTTAAACAATTTTTAAACAATTAGTTTAACATTTGATGGAAAGAATCTTACAGTAGAAGATGGTGGAGAGAAAATTGGAGTTCATGTTTATTCTTTTAGTAAAGAAAAATTAGAAAATTATGAGAAAAATAGGGAATATCATCAATAATTTATGTGATTTGATATCTTTTATATTATTTCTTCATTGGAAAATACAGGAAACAAGATAAATATTTGCTGAAATTAATTATTGTCCTAATGGATCCAGATCTCATTGATTGGTTATATTTATGCAAATGCCTAATAATTTAATTAGGACCTGATTCAGGATTTTTTTTTCCTGTTTTCTAAATAAATGTACAGCTGATTTATTCTCCCTTCTTCTTTTTTTAAGGAATCTAGGTAAAAATGGCTTGTCTAACAGTAGCATTTTGTTGGATAAATGTCCACCTCCAAGACCACCATCTTCACCATACCCTCCCTTGCCAAAGGACAAGTTGAATCCACCTACACCTAGTATTTATGTGAGTCTAAGTTGACTGACTAGAAATACATTAGTGTTTGCACTTACCTATCTTTTAGATGATATTCCTTTAACTTAATACATATACCTCTTAATAAACATTAAAATTATTGGCAGCAACTTTGAATATTCTGGGGGGAAAATGTGTATAAAAAAGATTTTATAGTAGCATTTAAAAAAATGTTCTTTTCAGTTATTTACTAGGTTATATGAGTGTAGTGATAGTTTGTCCTGACCCAATTTTGAACAATATTAGGCAGAAGTTACCTGGAAGTGTAGCCTTTTTGAGTAAACTGGGTTCTAAATCTGCATTCTGTCACCTGCTAATTTATATGGACCTTAACATTGATTCTCTTTTATGCGTCTACAAAAAAGGATGTTATTTACTTAAAAAAAAAGTATTTGAAAATACAAGATGTGGGAATAGACTTGTCATTTAAATAACAAAGATTATTTAAAACGATATTATTTTTACTTTATAGAAATTTAGACATCTAACACAGGAAACTGATAAGACTTCATTCAAAACTCCTATGTATCTTTCTCCCAACTAATTTTCCCATCCCATTTCCTTCTACTACAAATGAAAATAATTTAAGCTATAAAATAGGAAAATGTACTTAACCAGAATGATCTTGCATCTATTTCTAGAAGCCATTTGTTATATTAATATTTCCTCCAACCAATATTTATTGATCTCTTACTGTGTAAGCAAGGCACTGGGGTAAAAGTGTAATAAAATCTTTTAACTGATGTTTGAGGAAATAAAGTGCAAGATTAAGATTTGTCTCTTTTTGGTTTTCTTCAGCCTGCTTTCATATTTATATTTCTTTTAAACACTTTGATTTTGAAGTTTAATTTAAATTTCATTTGTCCCACATATTGTGTTCAAAATGAAATGGACAGGAGAAATTTATGTGCTTACTATCTAATTAAGGCATAATGATCAAAATTCTAAAATATAACAAAAATAGCAATAGTACAGATGTTGCATTATTTAAAATGCAATAAGTGAATATGAATTTGTGACATAATATTTAAATAAAAGCTCCCTTTTCATGGGCTCTAACCACATATTTTAATTTTTACAGTTGGAAAATAAACGTGATGCTTTCTTTCCTCCATTACATCAATTTTGTACAAATCCTAACAACCCTGTTACAGTAATACGTGGCCTTGCTGGAGCCCTTAAGTTAGGTAAGCTTTTAAACTAGGGACAGAAAAAAAAAAGTTGATATATTTCTTTTATTTTATTGTCTTAACTTGTGAAACACTGGCAGCAATTCATTTTGATTGTGGTTTTTTTGTGTTTTTTTTTCCCCCCTTCAGTTTTTTGTGTTTTCATTTTATTGTTTTCCTGGCTATGAATACATGTATTTTTATATCATTTCTTTAATCAATGATGTGAATGTATAATGGTAATATTGGTTGCAGGTGCTTTCATGGTTATTTTTAAATTTAGCTTTTATTTTCACCTAATTATAAAATTGTAATTTAAATTAAATAATAAAAAATATTTGGAATAGAAAATGTGAGTGAACTTTGATGCTACCAGTAAGTGCTATTTCCTGGCATCAGCAAAAATTAAATAAGTGAAATTTCAATCCCTGGAACCTTGATTCTGTCAGTGTTGGGGTGACACAACAATTAGGTCTAGGGCTTTGTGTATGGTTGTGCAAACCTAGAACTACATAGCTCAGGGTGTATAGAGGCCCTGGTTAGTTTTTAGGGGGACTAGATAGAGGAACATAAAATGGTTCCCCCACCCCTTTTTTTAATTAAAAGTGCTTTACAAATATTACTGCAAATGTATATTTTATTTATTAACTACATTTGCATTTATTTATTTATGAAGACCTGGGACTTTTCTCTACCAAAACTTTGGTGGAAGCTAACAATGAACATATGGTAGAAGTGAGGACACAGTTATTGCAACCTGCTGATGAAAACTGGGATCCCACTGGAACGAAGAAAATCTGGCACTGTGAAAGTAATAGATCTCATACTACAATTGCTAAATATGCACAGTACCAGGCCTCCTCATTCCAGGAATCATTGAGAGTAAGTAGTTACTTCTTGAGATGATTTTAGTTTTAAAGATGATTTTATTCTGAAAGTTTGAAAAGGCATATTACTTTGGTAAATATCTGATTGTTTTATAATTATGTAAAATACTTTCTACATGCTCTAACTTCTGCTCTTAATAAAGTTTAAGCAAACCTATGCATTGATAAAGTAAATATTGTTATGGCAAAGTAGAGCTATATAGTGAGAAGTCTCCATTATTTCTGGAACGTTTCTATTTAAAGCAGAATTTCTCAACCTTCCCACGCTGTTGACATTTTATGCTGAATAACTTTTTGCTGTCGGGGGTTGTCCTGTGTATCATAGGATGTTTAGTAGCATCTCTGACCTCTACCCACTAGTTGTCAGTAGCACACTCTATACCCCTAGTATGACAATCAAAAGTATTTCCAGACATTGCCAAATGTCTCCTGGGGGGCAAAATCTCCCTGATGGAGAACCACTAACTAAAGAGATAAACTAAGTATCAGATTTGCAATATGCTTGTAGAATTCCTAGGCCTATGTCTTCCATTTTCTCTCTACCAGATTGGTATTATCTGAGAGATAGCTCCTCCAAGAGGCATGTTGTTCTTACCAATTTCAATCTTTAATAGAAGGAGAGGTAGAAATTTATAGGAATTATTTCAGAATATATAGAAATTTAAAAAAAAAACTTTAAGAAATAATCAGGAGTATTATTAAAGCATTATTAGAATCTCCTAGCCCTATAATGAGAAATACATGAATTCTCCCACAAAGTGGACATAAAACACCTATAGAAATATGTTTATTAAATGTATTACTCAAATACTTGTCTGTGCTAAGTTGTTTCTCACATGTCTCATAGCTGAAACTTACAGTATGACTGAACATTTTTAATTTGTAATTTATTAGATTTGCTTATCTCTGTGAAAAATGTTTAAAATTCTTCCCTGAGTTCACATTTTCAATTAAGATAACATCTGTACCAATCAGTCGCATCGAGGCAGTCCCCAAGGTACAAACAAGATCCATTCCTAACTGTATCTTTAAGAATTTGTAGGTAAGTCAGAATAAAACAAAACCAAACCAAACTAACTCACTGCCATCGAGTTAACTCTGACTCATAGTGACCTCAATTGGGTTTCCCAGGCTGTAAATCTTTATGGAAGCAGGTTACCTTATCTTTCTTCTGCAGAGTGGCCGATGGGTTCACACCACCAACCTTTGGGTTTAATGGCAAAATGCCTTAACCACTACCCCACAAGACTTCCTTAAGTAAGAATCTTGTTGTTGTTGTTGTTGTTGTTGTTGTTATGTGCTGTCAAGTCATACCCGACTCATAGCGACCCCACTTTGGGTTTCCGAGGCAGTTTCACTATGGAAGTAAATTGCCCAATCTTCTTCCGAGGAATGGCTGGGGGGTTTGAACTGTCAGCCTCCTGGTTAGCAGTCAAGTGCCTTAGGCACTACGCTACCAGAGTGCCCTAAGTAAGAATGTTGTTGTTATTTGCCGTCGAGTCGGCCCCGACTCATAGCGACCCCTCTTTGGGTTTCCGAGGCAGTATCACTACGGAAGTAGGATTGCCCAACCTTCCTTCCGAGGAGTGGCTGGTGGGTTTGAACCACCAGCCTTCTGGTTAGCAGTCAAGTGCCTTAGGCACTATGCTACCAGAGCTCCTTAAGTAAGAATAGGTACATGAAAATTTTTATTTAGCCTTACTTTGGTCCTAGAAAAGGTTCAAAGCCTTTGCAGTGGTGTAAAAACTGAACGTGCAGCCAATGAAGGCGATTGTGATGAAGAATTTGTTCCAAGTAGGGGTTGGTTCACTCCTTTCAAAGTGAAGACAAACATACATAACATTAAAGGGCAAGTAGGACTTCTCCATAAACTGAGGACTGCCTGTATTTGTGTTCTTTTCTCACTGGCAGTCCCTATCTCCTACAAAGCAATTCATCTAATAAAAAATAAAAAAAATTCATCTAATAAAAACTGTCTTTCATGGATTGCAGTGAATTCATTGTCTAGATACATTTCTGTAGTTCAGACTTTTGAGATACTTCAATTATATGGTATTATGATCAGAATAGAAGTAGAATCAAAAGCTAATCAAAGGAAGGGTTTAAAGAGAAGGGATTCATAACCAAAAAGAGGATGGTTTTTAGTGTGCATGGAAACATTACATGTAAAAATTTGACAAATGTTTAGGAACTATACATTTTATGGGACGCCAAAATGCCAAGATGGTATTACCAACTCAGAAATATTAGTTGGATCTTAAAAGATACTATGTCTGTGACAGAAGAATTAGAAATAAAGTAATATTTGCATTAAAAACCCACTATAATTATCCAGCACTTAATTTCCTTACTAATGCTATAAATTTTTGGTCACTGATATATAATTAAATTGTGACAAAATTTTAACCCAGGAAGAACTTCTTCTATGTTGAATAGAAGAATAGAGAGCCTCTTACTTCTAACCTATTTACAAATATAGCTATGTATGCACGTATACATCTCTGCTAGTTTAGAAAGTGTCCCATTGCTTTATGACTTTGGCATTTATAATAAAACTTGATACTTCTTAGGCCTCTCAACTTGAATATGGGACAGATATGAGAATCTGTAGTTTTTCACCTTATATTGTTGTTGTTGTTAGGTGCCGTCGAGTCATCTCTGACTCATAGTGACCCTGTGTACAACAGAATGAAACACTACCCGGTCCTGTGCCAGCCCCAGGATCAGTGCTTC